ATTTTGATGACAGTCCGTAAAATCAAATTGATCAGAAACTAAATTTTGTAATACAGGGTATCACCACCAATTAATATAAATCCAAAACTCAGGCCCATTAAGTTACAGATATTCCAAGCCCATTTGGATTGATAAAGGCGCAAGTGCGCAACCATTAACCACCTCACGAACATAAGGGTATTATCGTCATTTCAGATACTCGAAGCGTGAGGAACCAATCCGTCTTTCGCTCTTACTCGGTCAACCAACAACTCCGAAGACGAACACGTGTCAAGTTTTTGTTGGCTTTCTGAAAGTCACGTCGAGTGCTATATAAATGCCGTTAAGCAACGCAACGGTTTTCTAATCCTCCCAGTAACAAACCAAAAGCGATCAGATCGAACATTTCCCGCGAGCGAGAGAGAGAAAGACTTCTTCTTCTTTGAGAGAGAGAAAGTTACGCAGAGACTGAAGTGTGATCGAAGATGGCGATGGAAGTAGCTACACCGGCACCGGCTCCGATCCCTGCACCGGAGAGAAACATCGTCCTTGCTCCGGCGACTGTCGAGACTCACAAGAAGAACAGGATCCAAGTCTCCAACACGAAGAAACCATTGTTCTTCTACGTTAATCTCGCCAAGGTACGTTTGATTTCTTTATCGGAATGAAAAATTTATCACCGGATCTATAGATTTCCGATAAGATGAGTCTTTGATCCTCATAAATCGATTGATCTGTTTTACTGGAGATTGTGAACATCGGTTGAGTATTTCTGATTTGATTACTAGTCTTTGCCTGGAATTGGAGTTTACTTGCCAGATCTGTTTGTCGTAATGATTCATGATCGACGATCTTTAACCTTTTGATTTAAAACTTGCGATCTGACATATCTGTCTACCAAGTGTTTGTTTGTATTTCCAAGAGAGTAATTGGAAAATTATTGAACCAATCTTGTGTGTGAGATTGCATTGCGTTTGATCCATTCGTTGTATGATGCAGAGGTACATTCAGCAACACAACGAGGTCGAACTCTCTGCACTTGGAATGGGTATAGAATACAATCTTCTGTATAGAAACTTAGATAGGTCTTTCCTCTTTTCTTAGATATCTAATTGCATACTTTGTATATAGCAATCACAACTGTGGTAACAATCTCTGAGATATTGAAGAACAATGGATTGGCAACAGAGAAGAGTAAGTGAAAACTCTGTTTTGTTCACTTTCTGAAACAATTTTTTTTTGTTCAAATCAAGAATCCGTTTTCATTTTTGGTAACAGAAGTGTTGACATCGACTGTGGGAATGAAAGATGAGACTAAAGGAAGGATGGTTCAGAAGGCAAAGGCAAGTTTCTTCTTGTGAACTTTTGATATGACTTGTTATTTTACAAACTTTTTGTGTTTTTGTTGTGCAGATTGAGATTGTGTTGGGCAAATCAGACAAGTTTGACTCCTTGGTGCCACCAGTGACTAACGGTAAAACTCCG